AGAATTTGTTAGACAAGACATGCAATTAGGGTGAGGAAGAAGATAGTGGAGTTCAGGTGCAGCAAAAGGCAGGCAGTAAATAGCAGTAAGAAATGCATGGAGGTAATAGCAGTGGCTGTGGACAAGGTGGGTCTGGTAGAGGGAAGCATGTTCCCTGGAGAGGGGCTTGGGAGGATGGGGCAGTAGATTTAGTGGAGGAAACGATGCAGACTGAAGGGCATTCTGAGGCAAAATAGTACAAATTGTGCCCTGCAGTCCTCAGTTAACATTCAGATTGAACCAGTCCTTTCCTCAGCTTCTCATAGGAAGAACAAATTACATATTTTCACTGATTTAAAAATTTGCACTGCAACACCATCACCAAACCCTCCATATGTCTCATGGCTGTGTTTCTTTTGGAGGATGTGACTCTGCCAGTCAGGATGTTCATGCTTAAGAGCTTGAGACAGTCTTAGGATATTGAATTTCTCACAACAACAGGAGGCCAAAGTGTTTTATGCCATCACCGCAAGGAACCGTCTTCTGTTTTAAATGTGTTTTCCACTGTAGAGAAAGTCGTGAAAAATATTTTAATTTTAATTTTGTTTTTATTTTAGTTTTGAAAACAGAATTAGTTATAAAACAAAGGAAGTATTGCTTCACTCAATTTCTAAACTCAAAAAAATCTTTCAAAATCCTCCCCCTCACTGAAACTAGGTGATAGGTCTAGAATATTATCTTGGAAATGAGTAAGCTACTGTTACGCTTTCAAATTTGTTCTGGAAAAAATGGCATGAACCCTTCTAAAAAGGAGCTACAGATTAGGAGTGTGCAGTGAATTTTGTATTTCTGTGTTGGCAGTGGAAGGTTGAGTGTAAATGAGGTCTCTGAAGGGCTGCCACTGTGAGCCACTGCTACCTGGAAGCTGGAGCATAGGTGAACTGGAAGCTGAGGACTGCTCAGTTTTCTTCTGCAGGCACTTAAATGACCTTGGAGTTTTGAACAAGTTATTAACCTTTTAGTGTCTTTTTCTCCTTGCAGAATTAGCATAAACACTTATTTGTCTCACAAGGCTAATTGGTAAATTAATGTTTGGAAAATAGTAAAGACTTTCTGCTGTCATTAAATATTATTGAAAGTCCAGCTGATAGGTAAAGAATTGAATAGATTTTGAGAGTCATATTTCTTCCCTCTTCAGCAGAGTATGCCATTTTGAGATTACTAAGTCATCAAAGAAGCAAGACATTATGGACTTGAATACCCAGGCATTTCGAATAAAAGTTCTAGATATGGCTGAAAAGGAAAAGGTGGGGAAACAACAACCTTCCCCACAAAGGTGGGGAAGTCAGGGTAAAAGTGAATTCACTAGGTTTGGTGGTACAGAAACAATATCCTGAGATCCGAAGAGAATGCATAAATTCAAATTAAACCACGGTAGGATAAAGAAAATATTTCAGTAAACTCAAGTCCTCTTAAGATAGGGAAAGGGAAAAGTGGCAGATGAGCAGTCTCTTTTGCTCCTATCTAGAATAGAATTATTCTTAATGAGATGCTGGGATTTTGGGGAAGCCTGCTCAAAAATTCAGTAATGTTTTATCTGAGAAAAATAATTATTGGGAGATTGCTTTCTAGTGAGGTGTTACAGATGGAGGCTTTGTGATGTGGTCGTATAAAACAATTGGTCTTTACCTCTAGAGATCCTTGAGATAAATGTTGCCTGGAGGCAGGAGTAAAATTGTTGTTTCAGAGCATCGTTTTAGAAGCAGTGGGACTGTTGGCAGAGTTTACCAAAGCTGTTGAGAGACTCGGCAGATTTTAATTACCATCTCAATATTGCAGAAGTTGTTTAATTTCTGACAAAGAAGGGAATAGTTGTGAGAAAGTGAGATCACACTCTGTCTTTCATTCTTTCCTGTTTGACTGTGGAATAAAGGATTCTTTTCAATATCTCTTCTGATGCTGTGACACATTTGTAAAATTTGCATAAATTGTAATTTTTTTTTTTAAGATTAACAAAACTTTTTTTTTCTTCTCTTTTTCAAGTTCTGTATTGCACAGTATGAATGCATTGTACGGCTTGTCAAGAAAGAAGCAAGATGAAAATATAGTGCTTTTTTTTGCTACTGATTAGTCTGCTTCAAACAGTACTGTTCTCAGTCTTCATGGCCAAATGGCTTGTACCATGTTATAATTCTTTTAGCAGTTCTAATAAACTTTAAATTCAGGTTCTTCTGGTGTGGTGGATGGAAGCATTGCCCGGATTAGTAGAATAAAGACAGAATTACTAATAGGAGAAGAACCAATCCATTTTAAAAGGAAAAATAAGCCTACAGTTCAAAACAATATTTACTCTTTTAGACCTCAAAATATATCAGAGAATGTGTAACTTTTTTGTCATTTGTGTGTGTAAAAAGGTTAACAATTATTACTTCCATTTTAGAGATACTTTTTTTTTTTTTTTTCCCTAAGCAATGCCTGAATATGTGTTGGTTTTTTTCTGAGTACTTAGAGTAGCCAAAGAAATACTTGTTTTTTGAAGACTCTTACCAGGTCCTTCAGTAGATTGCTGTGTTGCTTCTTTGTTTACAACTGCCTCTCACCTGTTGGTACTTGGTGAAGAGCCATTGTTTATTCTATAAAAAACTTTTTTTCCTCCTTCTCTTCATGTCTCTTATCTTTCGAGGACCTTTTCAGTGGTATCTTTCAGCTTCACATCTCTATTGTGGCATTATACAATATGTTGAGAAGGCTACTGCCCAGCACGTCTATTTTTGCACTTGTATTTTTTCCCATATATGTGATAAATTGGTACCTAAAAGCAAAAGGAACACATTTTTTCAAAACCCGGAAGGAGAGAGATCATAGAAGCAAGTAGGAACAATTTTTGTTCCTTCAGACTAAAAGATTTGTAGAATATCCTGAGCTGGAAAGGACTCACAAGGATCATTGATTCATAGGGGTTGGAAGTGACACCCAAGGATCAACTCCAACCACTGGCTCCACAAAAGATCGTCCAAAATCCAAATCCTATCTCTGAGATCATTGTTCAGACATTTGAACTCCAGCAGCTCAGTGCCATGATGACTGCCCTGGCAGGCCTGTTCCATGCCCCCCAGGTCTCAGGTGAAGAACGGCCAACCTAACCCTTCCCTGACGCAGCTCAGCTCCATGACATTCCCTTGCGTCCTGTTGCTGTGACCAGAGAGCAAAGCTCACTGATCCCCACTTGTTGCCCTTGTGAGGAGCTCTGGGCTGCCATGAGGCTTCCCCTCAGCGTCTTCTGCTCTGGGCTGAACAGACCGAAGGACCTCAGCTACCCTTCATACATCTTGCCCTCCAGACCCTTCATCATCTTTGTAGCCCTCCCTTGGATGCTCTCTAATAGTTTTCTATCCTTCTTATGTTGTGGCAACCAAACTGCACCCAGTGCTTGAGCTGAGATTGCACAGTGCAGAGCAGAGTGGGACAATCCCTCCCCTTGCTCAGTGGCAGTGCTGGGCCTGATATTCCCCAGGGTACTGGTGTCCTTTTGGGCTGCCAGGGCACACTGCTGGCTCTGAATCAACTTGCTGTCAAACCTCAGATCCCTTTCCACAGGGCTGCTCTCCTGCCTCTCCCCCAGTCTGTACATATACCCAGGGCTGCCTCATCCCAGGTCCAGAATCCAGCACTTGCTCTTGTTAAACTTCTTGCGCCTGATAATTGTTCAGTCAAGATTTCTCTACCCTCGACAAAGTCAACAGCTCCTCCCATTTTATTGTCATCTTTCTTAAGAAATTGCTTTATGTTACATTTAGAATTCGTTTGTTCTGGTGTTTGAAACTAAAATTCTGTGGTTTGCCCTGAAAACTTTGTCTAAATAGATTATACTGATTGATATTTCCTTATTTCAATATACCATCCATGCTTTTGGCTTACTGTTACCATGGTTGGAATTCTCATTTCATAAGTGCAAGTTACACAGGATACTTAAGTCCAGAAAGAGAAGTGCTGTGTTTCAATTTCTTGGATGATTTCAATGGTTTTGACCTTACACCAACAAGGACACAAGGCTGCAGCTGTACCTACAGCAGGCTCTATTTTCTGTAGTGAAGAAGTATGTGTTAGCAAGATATAAAAATCCCCTTGGTATATTTCTAGAAACCCTAGTGTATATGTAGTCATGGCCATGATTTTCATTGTGTAATCATTTTAATTAAGTTCAACAATAAAAGTTAGTCTTGCATGAGGAATGAATGCGTTAGAGAGATGATGAAGGATTGATGACAGCTTGGGGAGTGTCACGTCCTCTGCTGTTGAATTTGCTTGGTGGGGGAGAGCAAGTGAACTTAGGTCATAGATCAGAGATTACCAGTTCAGAGCAGTGGCCAAAGTTTTAGGGATCTGAAAGAAGAGGGATAAAATAGGAATATCCAAAAGGTTTTTTTACAGTATTTATCAGGAGTTTTGTTTGAATGGATAGCCTCATTATTAAAATTAATAAACATCAGTTAATTTCTGCATCATTTTTTGTAATTGCTGGCTTAGTAAGGTGATTAGCTAATTAGCATACAGCATTGCTTTGTGGCATGATAAATCATAGTACAGTGAATGTTGGCTCTTCATCACTATGATATATTATCTAATTTTCCCAGGTAAAAATAAAAATGGGAGGAAAGGGTGAAAATTAAGGAGGAAAGCCAGTGGTGACAACTGGGTGGCATTTTGGACAATTTTACATCTGCTGTCTGTATTCTCAGTTGCTTTGAATCGTTACACTATTAATAACAATTCTTCACTGTTAATAAGTCTTAATCACTGAATGAAAGTTGCAAAGAGACCCTGAAGAGGAAATAAAAACATGGAAACTGTGGCAGTTTTTTGCGTTCAGGCACCTGCACAAAGGATGGTACTTCTTCCAATAATACATCTGTGTGCATCTCCTTTGTTTTCACATTCCTGTAGTAAGATTCCAGAATCTTACTATTCTGTGCAAGAGTGAACATTGTTAACATTTTTCTTTTATTTACTCTGTTTTCTAGAACCTATGAGAACACCTAAAACTTTGAAGATTGCTGAGATTCAGGCCAGACACATTGCAGTGGATTGGGAATCTCTGGGTTACAATATCACTCGTTGCCACACTTTCAATGTCACAATATGCTACCATTACTTCTGTGGACGCAACGAGAGCAAAGCAGACTGCTTGGACATGGACCCCAAAGCACCCCAGCATGTTGTGGATCATCTGCCTCCGTACACAAATGTCAGCCTCAAAATGATCTTAACCAACCCAGAAGGGAGGAAGGAAAGCGAGGAGACCATTATCCAGACAGACGAAGATGGTATGCACAAATGTTATTACAGAAATTATGTCCAAGTCTGGTCTAGACAGGTGGAAGGAATTGACTTTTTGTGCTACAGTATATAGCCTGAAAGACCAAGGTTCCTTTCTTTAAATGTATTAATTAGCCCTAAAAAAACAGCTTTAAAAATACTATAGAGGTCAACTTGCATACATAGCCAGAACTGTCCCTGCAGCTTAAGTGAAACTGAATTTCTGTCTTGCAAGGAAAAAAAAGGGTTGTTTCCCAATCATTGCAAAAATGTGTTAATGCAGGTGACAAGAAACACGTGGTGGTAAAGGCTTCTTCATTGTCATTTTAGGCATGCTATTTGAAAAAGAATGTAATCTGTACATGGTATTTAAATATGCAGTTTGATGGTTTAAGACTATTGAAGATTTGCAGAAGACGAGTCTTCTATTTGAGCAATAATTTATTTATGTTCTAGGTTACAGTGTAGTGTATTTAACAGTTTTAAAACACCTACCAGATTAAAGTAATATTTCAGCAACTCCTTTTTAAAATGCTCTGGATGAAATTTCATTGACACAAGGCAATTTATCTTACCACAGTCAGGGAGAAATAAAGAATAGACATAGACAGTGATGCTGACATTCAGTGATTCTTCTAAGAATACTGGCATTAAAGAAATTAAAATAGATACTTTCTCTAATAAGGTTACAACTGTGGAGACAACGAGCAATTTGAGTTTCCTTCTGTTTAGATTTTATTGAAATATTGTCAACAACAAAACGAAAATAGATATTTCTGTAAGAGTTAAAAAAGTAAAATGATTATTTGGGGTAATGTATGAGCATAGCTACATAAAAAGAGAAAATTTTGAGCATGATTTCTTGCCTATAAAATAAACGAGAACAATGTATGACTGTATTTATGGATAGCAAGGTTAGAATCTGGTAGCACTTTTTTTGCGATATATTTTTAGTTTTACAAGAAATGGAAGAAGAATATGTTTACTGTTGCAATAAAGAAAGAAAAACAGCTGATTAAAATTGGCAGAGTATGAGGATCTGTAGAAAACTATGGTGATAGAAATGCATCACATGAAGATTTATTGACAAGTTCGAAAATAAAATGTTTCATGCAATTCAAATTTTAATATTACTTTATTTAAAATTAATTATAAATATAAGTCATGATGAATTATTTCTTTATCTGGACTTACGATGTAAGTATTTATGGTTGCTATTTTCCTTGAGGTTAAAAAAAATGAAAAAAGTAGTAGCAATATTGCAATGTCCATGGAAAAATGGCTTTCTTTTTCTTTTTAATTAAATTTTCAAGAAGGGTTATGATTTCTGATGGTCTTTATGTAGTTGGGTATACAGTGATGGTAGTTGCTCATCACAGAAGTGATTGTGAAGAGCAGAGTCAGTTGCATATATTTTGTCTTCTGTCTTCTGTTTTTGTTGTGGGATACTCATCAAAAATTATACACATCAGGCAGTCTTTTGGACTAGCATGCAGGCAGGGAACAGAGTTTGCTAAAGTACACTACTTCAAGCAAGTGCTATTTTCAGAGAAGAATTAATGCACTTTGAAGGGTATATTCAGACACAGTAGTGATGGTTATGCTTGTAACCTGGAAATATCCTCTTGTGAGGCCAAGTCAGTGATTCTGTTGGGAGTAAAATGCACATTTTTTATTATGCACTATTGATTAACTTGGAAGTGTGTGTCCATTTAGTCATATATTTCAAAATACGTGACATGTAAGCAAGATGCAATCCTAAGGGCTGTTAGCCATCATAGAGGATCAGAGATATTCACACCTGCATGGTTCTTTGAGATCTTACAGCAGTAATAAACTAATTTCTGTAGTTAACTGTATTTGTGTAGGGTGTGAGTTCAGTCTAATATCTGAGTGATCAAGTTTCCATCTAAACTGTGTGAAAAGACAGTTTGCTGCCTAAAGCAGGATTCAAACTAAAAGCATGAGAGCTACAGTGAAATGCATAGTTCTGTGCCCCACATATTTCATATACGGTCAGAAGTAGCCTCATTGTAATCATGCTTTTTGTAGGTTTTGTAGAATTACGTGATTTTCATTACAATCTGGGGCCATGACCACTTTCTGGAATCTGTAAATTCTTGAAATTGAAGATACCTGACCCAATGGTTTCCTCTCTTCCTCTTTCCCATTTTGACCTCATCTTCTGTTGCTCTACTCATTTTCCCCATGCTTCCATGTCTTTTTCCCTTCTTTTTTTTTTTTTTTTTTTCATCTCTTCTTCTGTCACTCTGCCAGAAACTTTATACATTTTTGAAAATCTAGGATTCTTTAAATTCAGAGGATGTTGGACTTATATGGATCTTTGGTATCACAAAAGCCAGAGCACTGAGTGATAACTGAGCAGCATATCATGCCAGGAGCAAAATTAATTCAGAAAATGCTTAGTAGAAGGGTAGGGTAGTTTCAGAAGCTCTTCAGACCTTTTGAGCCATGACTGACGAGTGAAGAAACTGTTAGTAGCTTATTATTCAAAACCTGGATGAAAGCAAAGCCAAGAGTATCAGACAGCCCCAAAATAGCCCTTTTTCTGACTAGAGCTGGATCTGAATACTTGTTGACTTCAGTATTTCAGTTTAACTGGAGTTGGTAAAAATTAATTTTTAATGTAGTAATTTGTGCAGAGCTGAATTCCATAGAAATATGAAGTACCAGCAATATACTGTTAGTCTGTACAAAAAGAATAAGAAAACAAGGAAATATTTGACTAGTTTACAGCTGAATAACCATCTTTCACTGGGAGAGACCACTAAGATTTTGAACAAATCATGAAGATTTGGAACAAGCTCTTGCTGTGTAGCTGGGAATGGAATGTGTTTGAAAGACTCAATACAGGGAAGAAAAAAAAAAAAAAAAAGAGGTTTACCCGTGCAGCCTACTGTAGGAAGCCTTCTTTGCAGGGGAGTTGGACTCGATGATCTTTAGAGGTCCCTTTCAACACCTACAATTCTGTGATTCTTTGAAATTTGGGGATGCATGCATGCAGGACAAAGACATTTTGAACAAAGGACAAAAACTATCCGTGACTTTATCACTTTACATAAATCAGCAATCTATGCACATTTGGAGTTGCATGACATAGGTGCTGCAAACTCAAAGTAGCCCTTTTTAAAAGCAATGTATGGTGGATGGGATTAATGAATATAGAAGTTTCCTTAATTTTTAGTTGGAAACAGATGCAGAAGATGGTGAATTAGCAGTAGTAGTGACAGTCATTTGGAGAGAACAACTATAGAAAAAGTAAATCATGAAACTCAAAGTATTTGATGATTTTGTACTTAGTGAAGGAATGTCAACTAATACCAAAGAACAACTAGTTGAAAAAGGTCATATGTCATAGGATAATTACCCTTTTAGGAGTTTAAAGTGTATGAAAGTTTTGGTCTTGGCCAAAGGGCACACTCATTGGAAACAAGTGAGGCGCCCTGATCTTTTGGAGGGTATAATTCATTAAGCTCAGAGATGCATAGCACTTCAGCACAGGGTTATGACACCCAGTATCCAACTCTACCACTATTCTCGCTTCTTGGAAAATTTCATCTGGCTCACCATTTGGAGAAACAGCTGTCAAAGAGGGAAATGTTATAGAGACAGGAGCAAAAAAAGGAAAAAAAAGAAAAGAAAAAATAAAATATTTTGTATATTATCATAATACAAAATATGAAATACATTCCTCCAACTGCAAGAGAGAGGAATTTATAGTTGACATCTAGTATTTTTCCATTTTTGTTAGTAGACTGAAAGTTGCCTTTAGAAATACATATATATACTTCTGTCTTTTTTTTTTTCCCCACGTTCAGCATTTGTTATAAGAGGGATTGTTTCCTTTGTGCTTTTTCAAGCTGTTCTGGCACCCCAGGAAAATATTGGGAGAAAAAAAAAAAAGAGGAGATATGTGTCTCGATCAAAGGAAACAAAAAATGCTTCAAGGAGCTTTGGAAGAACATAGATATAAAACCCTGCTTGTAACATAGTTCAAGTAACAAAAATAGCACACCTGGGAGAAAAGTTAATGCAGCAAGATGAACAGGCAAGATGAGTAAGCCTGATGCAGCAAAGGAAGGTTGCAAAGACTACTTGAAATAGCAAACTATCTTGAAAAAAAGTGTAACTTAGCTGAGTGACACGCACAGATATCAAGTGAACACCAAATACTAATCTTACTGCAAATTGGCAAGTAGTTACAGTTAATAAAGCAAAACTCATGATGAAATGATAAAGAATTTGATGTAAAGTTATCCATGTATGCCCTCACTAAAGGCATTGACTTCAGTCCTTGACCAAAAAGGGAGATAAATGCACTACATGTCTTGTGTCGTGGCAAAACTTAGTGTTGATATAATCAAATAGGAAGGAAGTTTTACATCTTGAGCAGCAGCAAACGGAAACTGGTTATAAATGCTCCACTGCCCTTCATAAAAGGAGCCTGGAATGACCTGTTTGTCCTTCAGCTCCTGAAAATAACCCCAATCATTTTTTCAGATGATAGGTAGGATTTGCTAACAGCATGTAATTGAGAGAGAAAAGTGATGGTAGAAAGGCATGTGAGCACTTTTTATTTAAAACATCAGAAAACTTGATTTGTGAGAAAGAAAGAAAAATATTGAAATTATTGACTATTTAGGTCAGATTTATTTTAGGCTTACAGTGAATGAACAGCAAGTGAAATAAGTTGTTTAAAGCTATTGCAGGGAGTAGAAATACAAGCTAGGTTTTATATTAATACCTCAGGAAAAATTGGCGCTGGAACACAGAATTATTTACACTGGCTGAAACAACTTTCTACTTTCATTTCCTTTAGTTACCTATATTAGAAGCTTTATAGCTGAAAAAGTGATATGCAATATGAGGTGCTTTTTGGCAATGGTGTGTTTGACATAATTACACCTGAAAGCAGGCCAGGATTAACAGTTATTGAAGCTGTCTGCAATGGGGCGAGGAATGATGTGTAGGCCTTATAATTGCCTTCATTGACAGCCCATGTGCTACTTGAATCTGGCATCAAAGTACTGATTTGCATGGTTTTAGTAAGTTGTGCAGTTGCCATTTTGTCAGTATGTAAGGTTATTTTTACCCTAAAACGGACAAATGTTTCCAAATCCCAGAGCTGAGAAGTGCTGAAGTCCATATTTGAGACAAAAGGGCTTTAGACAGCAAAACGCGCTGGATGCCTGCGCCCAATGCCCGTAGCTCAGCGGGTTCAGCCCTGTGTGACATTTGTGTCCATATCTATGGCAAATGCTGCCACTGCTGAGACTGAAGAGCCACTGCCAGTTGGCATAGCAAATAGCTTGATCATAAGCATTTATATTTTTTGTTTTTGTATTTTTATATCATGGGGAAGTTACGTGGGCCTGGAGGTGGCAACTGCAGGTGTGAGCCATTTGGAAGCATAAAGCTAATATGATAAATCCTAGCTTTTTTCCCTCAGAGCAAATGTAAAGGTTGGCCATTTTAATTCCTTATAACATGTAAATGGTAGAAGAGATTCTCTTTCACCATCTCCTGGAAACAGAATGTCTGCCTTCTGAGAATGGCTATAAGCTTTGTTGCTGGTATACTTTACTTCAAAGTAAACCCTTTATTACAAAGGAATTTTTCCTATACCTGTGCATATATCTACACACAGCTTTTACTGTATTGCATAATAATACTCTGCATGACTTTCACAGAGCATGGTAATAAAAATACTCTGTTTACGTGCACTTTCCTTATTATGTAGCAGGAAAACAGAAGCAATATAAATTCAATTTTATAGAGGCTGGTGTCAGTTAGTACATTGTTCTTCCAGTAATAAAGTATTATAAATTTCCTGTTAAGTTAGTGTACAACAAGGTTTAAGTGACACTATTTGTGAACAAAAATTTATTTGTGTCTGTGACATAGTTTAATGCAAATATATTGCTCAAAAATGAATTGGTTTTATGTCAGATTGATAGCTTGTAATTTTATTCTGCATAGTTTTTACAGAAGTCCACCACATTGTATTTGTAGAACAAAAAATTATCAGCTGTGCACTATACAAATACACACAGTACACATTCTGGAGCTTCGTAAAAGGGCTCTGGAAATGCATCTAAATCCTGAAAGATGAACTTGTAACATTTCCCCTATACAAACATCGCTAAAATTTAAATTTGTTTTATGTTCCTTTTTTTTTTTTTTTTTTTTTTTTTGTACGTCATATTTTTTACATTTGTATCCTTTTTTTTTTTTTTTTTTAATAGAAAAATAGTTTAAGGTTTTGTTTTGTGAGGACTTTTTTGTTTGTTTTTGCTTAAGATCATAATCTTTTAGAGTCATAGAATCATAGAATCGTCTTAGTTGGAAGGGACCCTTAAAGGTCATTTAGTCCAACTCCCCTGAAATGAACAGGAACATGCACAGCTAGATCAGGGTGAGTGTTCAGTGTCCCATCCAGCCTGGCCTTGAATGTCTCCAGGGACGGGGATTCCACCACCTCTCTGGGCAACCTGTTCCAGTGCTCACCACCCTTATTGTAAAAGGTTTTTCTGTAAACCATATAGTTTAACCCTCCTAAATAATTTATTTTCCTCTGCTTAGCGTAAATCTGGACCTGCTGGAAGCTTGACCTAGAATAATGTATATAAGAGTGTTTGCTATTGTCACTCAGAGATGGTGGGTTCACACTTCACAAGGTCAGCAAATCGAAAGAAAATCAATGGGACCAGAATCTTTTTAAAGAGAGGGTGCAGAGGCTAAAATGTTAGAGCACAACTCCTTTGATAGCTACATACACTATTTGAATTATTCAGATACTTGGCCATTGACATGGAATCTTAAGTAATGTACTTCTCTTAAATATACACTTGTAGTAGTCATGGGTGATTTGATTTAGGGCAGGCTATCTATAAAGACAAGAAGAAGAGCTTGCTTAGAAAGGAGATGGGAGCTGACAAGTAGCCTCGATGCCCAAAAGTGAGCTATGGGACTTTTAGAGATGCACACACATGCCCATAGGGAGTCTATCTTTTGGGCTCCTTGTGTGGTGGCTTCTGAAAGATGCTGCCAACAGAAAGATGATGTTTACCTGAATGTTTTTCACTTGAGTGCTTCTTAAAGATTGTATAAAAGAGTGGGAGGCTCTGAATACTGCTTTTCAAAAGGCAAAGCTTGAGGTGTTTCTTAAGACCTTTGCAGTCCTTTTGGAAGTTGGAGGGAATAGATAGTAATGGCTACCCAAATGGAAGAGTGCAGTTTGGGTCTTCACTGTAGTGTTATCATCTGGTCATATTGCTGTTGGTCTTTTGTTGTTGATGGCAAGTTTTTGTTTGTGGTGTTCAGGGCTTTTTTTTATGACTTTCTCCTTTTTTTTTTTTTTTTTT